GATGCAGTGTTAATGGTATCCCCGAATATACAAAACTGCGGCCTCCTCGATCCGACCACTCCAGATATGACCGGGCCAGTATGGATACCGATCTTCATAACCAAGGCCATCGTCGCATTATCAGTCGAGATCGAGACCGACTCCTCAGCATCCGCGGAGACATTCATGTGAGCGGTGTTGTCCAATATATCCAAGCCCAAAAGTACTGCGCGAAAGGCATCCTTCGACACAGCATGATGAGATGAGTCACCATCCGGGTTGAGTCCACTGCAGACAACGTAGGACTCAGAGACCGTTTCGAGCTTAGTCAGAGCGTGAACAAACACCAACTTGTCGATGTTGCTGAACAGCCGATGCATCACCAATATTAGGTGCTTCGGTGCCAGTGCAGCGACCAACTGTGGGAAGTCGGCCACATCGCAGAACAGTACGGTCACGTCTCCACAGCGCCGAGCGAAGGTTTCGATCTCTAGTTCAGAGACCGCTTCCGGGATGTGGGAGCTCGAGCGGCCCCTCCTTGACTGCGCGTGTGAAGACTCTGCATCACCCCCGATTCGGGCCGCAAGGTCTCGATTTCGGTCGATGATAGAGTCAACCACGAACTCGGGAAGCATGTTGTTGAGAATCTCCCTACTTCGACTTTGCTCAGTTCTGGAATTGAGTGAGAACAGATAGCAGCTTCTCTGGTTCAGCTCGTTCTCGTAACCAAAAACTAGGCTCATCAACGTTATCCCAAACACCATCGGAAAATAGTCCATCAGCTGGCAGAAGCTGTTATGGTAGACCATACCGCAGTCTCGCGGTTCGAGTGTATGCACGCCAGAATTGTGACGTATCTCCAAGTCGTATGCAAGGTACAGAAAGACGAAGAGAACAGAATGGATGGAAGATATGGCGAGTGCTTTCGGGAATGGGATTCGCATAATGATGTTTATGAAGAAAGGGAGCCAAGCGACAATGTGAGCATCATCTACCATGGTCGCCATCCTCCTGACGTAAAATGCCAACATCGAGAAGAATGCCAAGGCGCTTAACATAGCGTCAGAATGGTAGCGGAATAAGCGTGTACTTGTTGAGCAGTAAAACGCGATAACAACGACCAAGGCTACGCCGAGAGACACGGAAAATACTCCTGGCCGAATCAACTCTTCAGTCACGCCCCAAGCGAACTGATACAAGACCATGGCTTTGACGGATAATCGGGCTTGTTTGACAGCCTCACCCTGTGAGTGCCTCAAGTAGCTAGATTCAGTGGCAAGACTCCTGAATCTCAATGTCCTCGAATTAACTCTCCTCACTATTTGCGGGCGATCGTCGTCCAATGTGGACCGTCTGAATGCAGCCTCCCAACGGCCTCGGATCAGTTCGAGCATTCGTTGGAGACTGAGAGACTGAGATTTCGAACGAAGAGCGATTCCCTCATCCAAAGAATGGTCTGCTAGATTCTCGCCCAACGATAGTGAGAGACCATCCACCTTGCAAGGAAAGCTATCCTTGAGCCTCGCAGCGACGTAGTACAGCCCTCGCTTGAGCCATTGACGAGGAGCAGCCGCCAGCCAGCGTTGCAGCTTCTGCGCTGGAGTTGCCGTTCGTCCCGAGTAAGTGAATAGCCTTTCCAGTATAGTTGTAGAAGCGCCGACGCCGGTCACAAAGACGAGTAGCAGCCAACTGACGATTGACCCTTCCCATAGCATCTGCGCCACATTAGTTGCTCCTGACCATGGCCGGCCAACCCGAGAATATATCGAGAAGAATGGTATGAAAATGCTCATGGATCCGAAGCAGGAAACTAGAAAGAGAAAAGATAGATGATTAGCGAGAACGACCAGTATAAAGTTGGCAACGACGACCACCGAATAGTAGACAAGGTTGCCCATGCAAGCATAACCCATCACTGCGCCACCAGAACCGGATGGGTAACTCATTCCAACCGCGACAGAAGCGTAGACGACTACAGCACAGGCAGTCGCTCTCAACATCCACGCGATAAACTTCCTCGCATTGAATGAGACTGACTGTCTCCCATCAACATATACGATAGGATACCTCGCAACGACCCAGCGTGGCAGGGTGATATCCATGGCGCCGATGACTATGATGGGGAGGGAAGTCCAGAAGACATTGTAAGACATCAAGATCCAGGAATCGTACAGGGAGGTGCCAGTGAACGCATTGCTCAAGGCGAAAAATACATTCGGCAATACCAGAAAGATGTTCTTGAAGAAGGAATAGAGTATGACGAGGGTAATACGGTTGTAGCAGTCTCGGCCGTGGATTAACATCAGCTGTCCAAGGTGAGAGAATGTGGCAATGGCGTAGTCTGAGGCTCTCACGGCCTGCATTCCTTCGCTCCCAATGATTCCAATACCGATGTTGGCCACCTCAAGCATAGGAACATCGTTAGCTCCATCGCCTATCGCCAAAGTGATACAATCATCTGCTTTTTTTAGCAGCTGAACGATCAGTGCCTTCTGTGATGGTGAACAGCGACATGCCACCACCGACACGGTACTCACGAGGACATTGACTAGGATCTTCAAGTTATCCCTCGATGAAGCGAAACATGATATTGCCGAACCGTCCAAGACGACGCACAGAGAGTTCATTTTTCCATTGGCCATCCATTGTAGGTAGTCTTCATCGAAGGTCTTCTGTTTTTCAAGTACGAAGGCATCCGCCTCTCCTTTATTAAACTTAGTCTCTGCATGAAGGCAGAGATCCGACACAATCCCATCACGAGGCAAAAGCTCAACTGCTCGAGCTATGTTCAGAGACGTCTCGAACCGATCCCCCGTGAGCATCCAAACCTTGACACCTGCATTCAGCAATCGGAAGACCGTTGATTCGACGCCATATTGTATCGTGTCTTCTACAGCAGTGGCCCCGAGAACGATGAGGCCCGTCTCGAACTTCTCGGCTACTCGAGCGAAACGATCAGCTCGATTCGTTATGGAGTGCCTAGCTTCATTCAGGGCTCCAAGATACTCTGAGGTCTCGACTTCATCAAGGTATCGCACCGCTAGCATGAGTGTTCGAAGGCCAGCCGATGCGAATTCATTGATATCAAAAACCGTTTCCTCTCGAACATCCCGGACAGGGACCCCACATAAGGCGATAGTTGAGGCCTCTCCAACATCTCTCTGGCAGAGTTCAGCCATCACGTCGTCTGCACCCTTCACCAATAGCATAGACCCGCGACCATCAGGGATATAGGCGACGTCCCCTTCATCAGTTTCAATGGTCTTCATGATTTGGACGAGAATACTCATGCGCTTGCGTTCGCTGGTGAACTCGTTGACACCGAGAATTTTGAATGTGGTATCCTCCCATTGTCGCTCCTTTCCTGCGGGACTGGACTGTAATATTCTAAGTGACACGAGATCCGAGCTTCGGTCCGTGAGGATGTAGCCCGAGCTCGCAGCCATTTCAACCAAGGCCTCCTCATCCGGGCTAGCGCCTTGGAAACGGACTCCGATCGGTGATTTAGTCGACGTCTCGGCGATAACGGTATTACATATCGCGCACGTCAGCATGAACAGATGGACGAAGGCGTCTTGGGGCCTTGTAATTACCGAGACTCCCAGATATTCGAGTAACGCTTCATCACGTAGGCAGTTCTTCTCTGTGCTCGGGAGCATCTCACTGCTCCGCAGAGTATACAGCATGTTCGACTCGAGGCTGTCACTGATGTTTGCCATCTCAGTACTCCCGTATCTTATACCGCCGATGCTGCACGCTCTAAACAACATTCGATTCTCTGTCAAGGTTCCGGTCTTATCAACCAGAACATAGTCCACCCGACCAAGATCATCGTTAAGGCCTGATGCGCCTACGATGATCGAGTGCTGGCCTTCCTTCATATAGGGATCTCGCTGGATAAGGTATGCCTGAAAGCGAGAATCTCCCTTCCATCGAGACCCTCAATGAGGAACAGAGGATCGTCGGCACCACAAAATCTCGATAGCAGTGGCGCTGAGTACTCGGGTGCGAAGGAAAAAACGAAGAAAGTTCGCCTGGGCTAACCTGTATTGATCTGACGATATCTAAGGTAACGTAGAGAGAAATTGGAACCATGTTGTTGAATAGGATCAGGAATGTAAGGAATTGGTGTCCCTGAGGAGATCATTTGTGCAGAGGTGGCGAATGATACGGACCCACCCAAGTAATAGTCTGCGAGTGCATTCCTACGAATAGCTCGAATTTCTCTCTCGATTCGGTTGCGCGACCGAAGGCTGCTGTTAATCCCGAAGATAATGCCAGCATAAGACCGAGGACGAAGCCAAGGTATCTGCAGGGTCTGTGCTAGTGGGAAACCCCACCACCTGGCTATCACGAATACACACGTTCATGTTTCGCTAACCTATCATCATATAGGGAGAAAAGATCACGTCAGCAACATAGTATAGTTCAAGTCGGCATCAGAGCTTGACGGACGGGTTGGAACCAGTCTACCATTACTCAGAAGGAATGATACTCATAAGTACGCCATGTTATCAGCTTATTCCGACCTGTTCAGTGTGATGCGTCGAAAATGCCCCACTGAAAACGCGCATCATCCCAGGTTGCAGACGAGTTGATGTTTCTCTCCGGCACTCCTGTACGAGGCGGGCTATACCCGATGAGAGTTTACTCCAAGTGGGCAGAGTAGAAGCGCCGAAAACGTTGAGTTCCATATGTCTTGATTAGGGACGATCATTACTTGAGTAATAATTTTCTACAACAGTCCATCTTTATGGCAAACAGGTGTTAGTCTGAAACTCCCAACGAAAAATGTCAACTGCAAGTGTGACACTCGTAAATTTGAATCTTGAAGAATAGGGGCGCCACGAGTTTTCATATTACTTGAGCGCAGTTATTCAATCGATAACTGCTGCTCTGAGCGGTCTGCTCGCCCCTCTCAAAATGAGCAATAGTGAGCGATTGGCTGTGAAACTGCTTGTTCGAAGGGTGGACCTACTGGTTTATCTGATGCTCCACCTTGGACCTCTTAACGGGCGCGTTCGCGGTCATGTTCATGGCTAACTTAGTGTCCCTTCCCACATAAACGACGACGCCGCAACACCACGCCGTATTCCGGATTGACGATCCGCGGAGTACCTCAAAATTACGAGAATCATTGATGACACTGGTCGAGATGCCCCATATTGCCGACCGAAACACTCAGGCTTACTAGGTTCTTAGCATCAGCAGGTTCTCTCAGCCCTCCTCTGAGGCGAAAGAGTCCGTTGAACTCATTGGTGAAAGCATTTGGGGCATCACATGTCATTGACCCGACACACTCGGAAACCAATGAGAGAGAGCGGAACATTCGCCTGAATATCACAGCAACGAGCGGTGTTCTGTTTTCGCTTTCGAGAAGCTCCCCTGCGACAGAATCGGTGTAGTATTGAACGCTAGACGGCCCACGATAGGGAGTGATTAAGAGGAGTACCGAGCGAGGCATATACTCGCTCCCTACCGTGCCTCAGGGAGAGCTTGTTTCACTTTCAATGCCGACTCCCCATCGAGCTGGCTCGTCTCCACGTAAACCATTCCGTCTGCATTGCTAGAGGCAACGAGCAGTATGTCAGCCTAACTTATACACATGAGATCACTCTGGATCGCAATCTGGATCGCCCGGAATGTAGAACATACCGGGACTTCCTCTCCTCTACTCAGATATATGATCGAACCGGCTGTGAAGTTCTCCCAAGGCATGAGCTCCAAGCCTATCATACACACCGAGCTATCCAGTCGAACCGAGTGAACTTGAGCGGGAAGGCGGTCTGACCGGCTATAGACGGGCCATTCCGTAGTGTCCGGCCGCTCTCTGAAGCTGTTTCTCTCTTAACGACTACCCGGCATAAGCGTTTATTGACCTGCGGATGATTCGCGGTCAATTGCCAGGCGCAGAGAAGATGCTGCGCGATGTACTAACGTGCTTCGGGCAAACACGCACGGGATCACTCTAGTTTGGGAAATGTGATTAAAGAGGTACCTTAGCGTCATTCTTATAACGGCGATAGTCCTCTATCGCATCTTTGATCATCGTCAAACTGAGGACGAATACCAGAGGCGCAATGGTGGCCCACTCGGAAGTCGGACTCAAGTCGGAGGGGAGCATCTGGCAGATACCTGAAGAGAGTAAACATAGTAACGGTCATCAAGCATCGAGGCAAATTTATTTTAATGTTCAAGCTATGGCTAGGTACGCAGTTGTCAGACGAAATGCATCACACTCTTACTGACAAGGAGGAACCATAAGTTTGCAACGCGTTGGAATTGCTCCCATAGGCTGAGTGGGACAAATGTCAGTAGGCGGTACTTCGTCGAGGTAATCTACCAGGATGAAAAAGACTCACATGTACGCAGCAAGTAAGAGAGATCACATCAACAACCACTACGAATACATCGGAAGAGTCGCACAGTGCTCAGCGAAACGACATCATCGTCTGACAGAGGTGCACCAAGTAGGCTGGATTGTGCCAAAGGCGTTGGCTCTATCACATGCACTCAGCTGTTATTCACAGTCAAACTCAGATTGATGTGAATGATGGCAACTCACTCTGTTGTGGACATCGGTTCTGTAGTCCTGGGAAATCAATGGGCAGAGCTTTAGCCTATCGAGATCAGCTCGTGCTATACAACAGGCATCTACAGTACTCTTCTTCCACTGCTACATCAGGACCACTCGCCATGAGCTCAGTCAACGCTCGGTTATTCCGAGCATGTAAAGCTGCGGGCTTGTCAGAAGTATGCGGTCCGAATACCATCTCGATCGTTTCCGTCCCAGTCGAGTGGCCAAGACTCGAGCCATTCGTTTCGCTCGAGCCAATGTATTGAGAAGTTGAATTAGCTCGGTCGAATTCGAACGGACTGATCATCGAGTTAGACGAGTTCCTGAGACACATATCTCTTGAACTCGTCCAATTGAGGTTGGATGGTAATCACTCTCGGCCCAAAACGTTTGGCAGCATACTGCGAACCAAGAAGCGAGCTCTGGAAAGTCTGCTTGTGGAATGACTCAAAATCCGATGGTCGATGGAACCTGACAACCGCAGTAGTTTGCCTCACGGGCAAGTTGACCCGGCCAGCATATAGCATCACCTGACGAACCACTGCTCTCGAGAGTTTCGTGAGAGTGGCTGTCAGGAGAGCGGGGATGTTCCGCCGATGTGAAGGAACTTTCAGCCGCTCGGGGAACACAATCAGGCAGTGTGAGGTCGTCTTCCGGGCTTGGTAGATGTTCAGACGACGCTGAACTCGCCATCATAACAGCTGCCCACGGCACTACTGTAGTTTTCCATGCCTGTGACGCCCTCAGACCCTGGGTTTGATACTTTTCCGAGAGACTCTCTCTTGGGTACACTCTCTGCCCACTGGAAAATTTCCGCGTATTACAAACGATGGCGTACTATGCAGTCACACTCTGGATTGATACTGATTGACAAGACTAACGCCGACATCGTCTCTCAATTCTCATGGTTAATTAGCTTGCCTAACATGGTCAGATGCGAAAATGATTGGTACTAGATCACAGTATCGAACTGACCATACTGCATCTTGCTCGTAGATATCTCGTAGATTTTCAGCTGTTTGGCGACGACGCTCTGATGACTGTTTGCCGGACCATGTTTTTCTGAGAGTCCACCGTCACGCATTGCTTGGGGGAACTCCTATCAGCAGCCCCACGCTGGAAGTACTCACTAGAATCATCAGGGACCAATGTCTCTATTGTTGTGTGGAAACGAAACCTATATTTGCCAGGGAAGTAATGAACAAGATATCTGCAAGAGAAACAACCAGTAACTTCAGGGTATATCCCTGAGATTCGGGAACTCTCTAGGGAGAGTCTAATCAGGCCTACCCGCGGAGAGAATTGGACGCGACTATCTTTCCAGGTATACCAGCTGTTTCGACTTGATTCGCGATGGTCACGTCAACACCAAAGATATCATAGCTTATCTTTGTTGTAGCTGTAATGACGACAAATCGGGATCAGATGCCCACGGCCCGTGGGCCCGGGACATCGTTGTTTCACACCGGCAACAGCTCGGACTGAACTTGGACTCACCAATAACACCGCCAACGAACTTGCCGAAGTGCAGGCCTATCCGCATTTCCAAGTCTGGCGCGGACATTTCCTGTCGGACTGTATGAAGGGCCTCCACCATCGCCTGGGCGAATGATACCATCCTCCTAGCAGACTGTACCTGTCGATTGATATCGTCGATAGTCCGGTCGCACCAATAGGCCGAATGAGAGAATCATCGCGAGATCTGATTCTGCTCGCCAGAGACTGCTTCAGTGGCAGCCACCGAAGGATCTCCGCAGGAGATGCAGGGACCCCCTGCGATCGATGCACTTCACCGATTCGCCACGTAGTTTCACACTAAGTTTATACGATAATATCGCGTGACCATGAGCATCCTATCAAGAGCAACTGTCCATAATAAGAGAAGGCATCGACAGGAGAGTAATGAGCAACAGTCGATGTTGACGTCTCGCTACACACCTTATCGACACCTTCCTTAGGTTCTGTGCTAGCAACGTACGCATCTCCGATGGTGTGTACCTATGTCAACGAAATCGCTCACGTATGAGATTTCGTTCATGAGCAATGATGTGCGGCCGCGGCTCCGGGGTGAATTCAATCACGTGGGCGAGCGAGGTGCATTCGTTATAGAGACCTCGAGCTCAACGCTCGATGGCGTCAACCATACACAGTGTTGGTCATAGATATAGAGGCTACTTGAGGAGCTCACCTTGTACACTGCATAAGTGTCCGATAGACTGTCAAACCGTGAGAACAGGGTAGTGAGGAGTGATACAACTCGCTCGGCAGGGGCACTCTTCGCATAAGCTGTATAGTTGCATATATCAGCGAATAAGAGGGTCATGTTTTTGTATAGTGATGCCATGTACCTATCTGCTAGGTATGCTTCCAATGCCTGAATAACTTAGTCTAACCCATGGAGAAAGCTCTCGAAATCATGGCTTACAGATGAGGGCATGAATTCCGATAGTAATCGATGAGCTCGTTTCTGCCAGCTCTGGTATTCAATATCGGTCAAGAATATTCTCCTTTTCCAAGACTCTCTCATCCGCGCCATGATTATCGCAATAAATGCGAAACATACGACTAATGCTGATGTCTGGAGAGAATAACAGACTATAAACACATCGATATGCCCATCTCATTTACAATGACGAAGGATAATTGTAGAAGCGATTCTAATCCACAGGAAAGTTCTGTCCTACAATGATCAAAGTAAATTCGAAGTACTCCATCTCTACCCCCAAAACCCGACTTTCAGGCTCACCTCCGCAGCCAAGTCGGATCCGATGTATTCACTGAAATTCCACGAGATCACTACTGGAATAAGGATTATGATGTTGATGTAGAGGAGATGCTTGAAGAGCAATGCAGCATTGAAATTGATCATAATCAACCACATGGTCAGTTCGAGGCTATTCGCATAAGAATGGTATCTGTCAATAACCATCTCTCAGGGTCTAAGCGTCAGTCACAGGAAATAAGTCAAGCGAAGCCAATGGGACAGGAGTGAAGTCTGTCACCCTGTAGCAGCCGGCGACTCGGTGATGCTCAGATTACTGCATGTAGGATCATCGGCATCACAATCATCTCGCCGCACGTTTTCGACGAAAACGAGGGTATGTAATGAAGCCACCAAAATCCCAATGGCGTACACTCCGACTGTGAGTAGTCTCAGAGCTGGCGCAGACAAGAGACTCCTCAGCGAGTAGAGCACATACAATACCATCAGGAGGATCCATACCGTGAGTCGGGCGAGGAGGACGCGGGAAAATATGACTTGCGGCTGTTGTGGTGCAACCAGAAGCTCGATGGTTTGGATAAGGTAAGATACCGACAGAATGAGGAGCACATATCGAGTCGATCTCGAGGTTACAAATGTCATCAAACGACCCTCTCGGAACCGGATCTCATAGGAGCTTTGGAGGAACTCCATAGTGTACATGCTGGCCCGATCTTTTCCGAGATCCATACGTTCGACGGCGTGCTCTTTTTGAACATCATATCGGTCATTGTTGCGTCGCAAAGCCTCTACAGCCAAGTTCAGATCGCGAGATTTGTCGAAATTAATTGTCCTCTCATTGCAGCTAACATCTGACCCAGCCAACCAAGGGCTGGACGAGTGGAAAGCATCATACGCTTGCTCATCCAAACTTTCTTCTGCCCCATTCCGCCAACGTATGGATGGTTTCAAGCTCGCGATGAGCTTCCTAACGGGAGCCGTGAGTGTACTGGTTGCCGAGCCACCGAGACTGGCCTGGGAGTGCCTCCGTAGAGGTTCAATCCCTCCCAACTTCTCCACTTTAGAAGTGTCGAACGAGACCGCAAGATCTCTGCTCGTCGACATCGCGCCAACATCTTGCAGATGTGAAGAGTCGACAACCCGAGAGGCATCGTAAGTCATCAACACCCCTTTTCCTTTGACAAACGTCTCGCGCTCTTCGAAGGAAAGACTCGAGGAGAATTCCAAACACTCGCGAGTGCTCGCCGAGAGATGAACACGATTAGGAATGGCGGTGGACTTCATCCGCGATGCAGTGTTGATGGTGTCTCCGAAGATACAAAACTGTGGTCTTTTAGAGCCGACCACCCCAGATATGACCGGACCAGTGTGGATGCCAATTTTCAAAACCAAAGCAATTGCAAACCCCCTCATACACTCGTCAGGTCCAGTGTGCGCTGGGACATTCATGTGAGCGGTATTGTCCAGTATGTCCAAGCCCAACAATACTGCGCGGAAGGCATCCTTCGACACAACATGATCAGATGAGTCACCATCCGGGTTGAGTCCACTGCAGACAACATAGGACTCAGAGACCGTTTCGAGCTTAGTCAAAGCGTGAACAAACACCAACTTGTCGATGTTGCTGAACAATCGGTGTATCATCAAAATGAGCTGCTTCGGTACCAGTGCAGCGACCAACTGCGGGAAGTCGGCCACATCACAGAAGAGTACAGTCACGTCTCCACAGTGCCGGGCAAATGTTCCGATTTCCAATGTAGATGGGATTCTTGAGGAGCCCGTTTTAGAAGAACTCTCTGTTGACCGTCGGGAAAGCAATCGAGACTCAGTACTGCTACCGAAGGGGAGCCCTCTATTGTGCTCAATGATCGAATCGACTACGAAATCTGGAAGCATGTTGTTGAGTACTTCCTTACTGCGGGATTGCTCGACTTTAGAATTGAGAGAGACGAGATAGTGGCTCCTCTGATCAAGTTCGGTCTTGTATCCGAGTGCCGCACTCATCGATGTTATCGCGAGCATCATCGGGAGGTAGTCCAGCAGTTGACAGAGGTTATTAAATTCGACCCCACAGTCTCGCGAGTCGTGTCCATCCATACTCGAACCATGATGGATCTCCAATGTACGAACGAGATGGATCGTGATGAAACAGATAATGTGGACGATAGATAGGGCAAGTGCTCTCGGAAATCGGATTTGAGCAGCAATATGCACACTAAAGGGGATCCAGGCAGCCAAGAGAGAATCGTCCACTCCATCGACGATCCTCATCACATAGAACTCAGCTATAAAAAGAAACGCTAGGGATGCTAGGACCGTAGTGTAGTTACGGCGACAGAAGCGGGTGAACGTTAATAGGTATGCAAAGGTACCGAAAACTGGGATGATAACAAGTGAAACAGATACCCTTCCTGACGGGCTCAGCTGCTGAAACATCCACCACGACCACAGAGGGATGAGGATAATTTTTAGAGCCAATTTGATATGCTTTATGGCTTCAGCTCGGGAATGAATGCGATAGCCAGATTCTGTTGCAATGTTCTTGAACTCCAGTGTCCTGGAGCTAACTCGCCTCAACGTTTGAGAGGAAACGTGCTCGCCTGCCGCTTCAGTTTCATCAGCCAACAATCTAAATACACCCCGGCAAAGTCTACGGACTACTGAGTTCAGTCGCGTGGCACTCGGAGTTCGCGATGGCAACGGGGACACTTCGTTCCCACCAACACTTGCGTCGGCCATAAAATCGCTCACGGATTGCGTGAGGGAGCCCGGTACACAGGGGAAGCTTTCCTTGAGTTTTTCAGCTATATGCGATAAACCTTGCTGTGTCCAGCGGCTAGGAGCAGCCGCCAGCCACCGTTGGAGTTGTTGTACCGGCGTTGCTGCATCCCTCGAAAAGACGAGTAACTTCAGTAGTATACTTCCACAGACGCAGATATCAATCACAAAGATGAGAACCAACCAAGTGATCGGAGATTCTCCCCACAGCATTTCAGCCACATTGGTTACCTTCGACCATGGACGGCCAATACGGGAGTATAGAGAAAGAAATGGTACAAATGCAATGATAGAGACGGAGCAGAGCAGTAAGAAGAGGGATGACAGATGATTAACGAGAACGACCAGTATACAATTGACGACGATCACCACCGAATAGTAGATGAGCGTACCCATACAAGCGTGACTCATCAACTCGCCACTGGGAGTGATAACGGAAGAGTAACCCACAACGACCGCGACCGAAACGTAGGCGACTGCAGCACAGAAAGTCGCTCCTAGTATCCATACGATAAACTTCCTCGCATTGAATGAGAATGACTTTCTCCCTTCAACATATACGATGGGATACCTCACAACGACCCAGCGTGGCAGGGTGATATCCATGGCGCCGATGACTATGATGGGGAGGGAAGTCCAGAAGACATTGTAAGACATCAAGATCCAGGAGTCGTACAGGGAGGTGCCAGTGAATGCATTGCTCAAAGCGAAAAATACATTCGGCAATATCAGGAAGATGTTCTTGAAGAAGGAATAGAGTATAACGAGGGTAATACGGTTGTAGCAGTCTCGGCCGTGGATTAACATCAGCTGTCCAAGGTGAGAGAATGTGGCAATGGCATAGTCTGAGGCTCTGACGGCCTGCATTCCTTCGCTCCCAATGACTCCAATACCGATGTTGGCCACCTCAAGCATAGGAACATCGTTAGCTCCATCGCCTATAGCCAAAGTGATACAATCATCTGCTTTTTTTAGCAGTTGGACGATCAGTGCCTTCTGTGATGGTGAACAGCGACATGCCACCACCGATCCGGTATTCATGAGGATACTGGACAAGATTATCGAATTGCTCTTCGACGAGGAGAAGCAGTCTATTGCTGAACCATCCAAAACGACGCATAAACAACTCGTTTTCCCACGAGCGGTCCACTTCAGGTATTCGTCCTCAAAGTTCTTCTGTTTTTGTCGTACGAAGGCATCTGCTGCTTCATTACTCATCCCACGCTCGTAATTGGAGCAAAGGTTCGACACATACGCATTCCGGGGTAAGAGTTCAACAGCTCGAGCAATGTTCAGGGAGGTCTCGTAGCGATCACCCGTGAGCATCCAAACCTTCACGCCCGCATTCAACATCCGACAAACCGTTATATTCACGCCACGCTGTATCTTGTCTTCCACAGCAGTGGCCCCGAGAACAATAAGATTCGTCTCAAACTTATCGGCTATTTGAGCGAATCGGTCAGCTCGATTCGTTATGGAGTGCCTAGCTTCATTCAGGGCTCCAAGATACTCTGAGGTCTCGACTTCATCAAGATACCGCATCGCTAGCATGAGTGTTCGAAGACCAGTTGATGCGAATTCATTGATGTCAAAAACCGTTTCCTCTCGAACATCCCGAACAGGGACCCCACATAAGGCGATAGCTGAAGCCTCTCCAACACCTCTCTGGCAGAGTTCGACCATCACGTCGTCTGCACCTTTCACCAATAGCATAGACCCGCTACCATCGGGGATATAGGCGATGTCCCCTTCATCAGTTTCAATGGTCTTCATGATTTGGACAAGAATGCTCATGCGTTTGCGTTCGCTGGTGAACTCGTTGACACCGAGAATTTTGAAAGTGGTATCCTCCCATTGTCGCTCCTTTCCTGCGGGACTGGGCCGTAGTATCCTAAGTGACACGAAATCCGAGCTTCGGTTCGTGAGGATGTAGCCCGAGCTCGCAGCCATTTCAACCAAGGCCTCCTCATCCGGGCTAGCGCCTTGGAAACGGACTCCGATCAGTGATTTGGTTGACGTCTCGACAATAACGGTGTTACATATCGCGCACGTTAGCATGAACAGATGGACGAAAGCATCCTGAGGCCTTGTAATCGCCGAGACTCCCAGATATTCGAGTAACGCCTCATCACGTAGGCGGTTTTTCTCAGTGTCCGGGAGCATCTTGTTGCTTCGCCAAGAGTAAAGGTTGTCGGAGTGAATACTTTCAGCCGTGGGTGCCTTCTCTTCACTCCCATACTGTACTCCACCAATACTGCACGTTTTGAACGACATCCGATTCTCCGTCAAGGTTCCGGTCTTGTCAACCAGAACGTAGTCAACCCGGCCAAGATCATCGTTGAGGCCTGATGCGCCTACGATAATCGAATGCTGTCCTTCCTTCAAATAAGGATCCCGCTGAATAAAGTATGCCTGAAAGTAACTATCTCGCCATTATGAGCTTTCGTGACGACAGAGTAATCGTGAGTCAGCTGCTTGATATCGACAGCGGCAGCGTAGAAAGCTCAGTTGATAACATAAGCGCCGAGTACTCCGCCCAGGCTGACCTGTATTGATCTGACGATGTCCACGGTTACGTAAAGTGATATCGGGACCATGTTGTTGAATAGGAGAAGGAATGTCAAGAATTGCTGTCTCTGAAAAGCATTCTGCCGCTGACTAACGTGACATTCACTTGGAATCACAAATAACGTAGACCTACCCAGGTGCCACTGTAAGTATACATGCCTACGAATCGCTCGAACCTGTCCCTCGAGTCGCGTGTGCATGCAAAAGCTATGGTTAGTCCCAAAGATAGTGCCAGCATGAACCCAAGAACGAAGCCCAGGTACCTGAAAGAGTTGGGGAATGATGAATATATTCATGCCAATAGCTTGGGCAAACTCGAGACAATGATCACATCAGCGAATTTGTTGTAGAGTCTCCGTTGTAGATTCTCCGATGGAGCTGTACCCGTAAGGCGGAAGCCGTCAATGTCATGCAACTCACACAACAACACTCCGGAAGCGAGCTGATGTGTGATAGAGTAATACAAGAACCGTCATTTGCCGGTTCGGCATATTCAGTGCTCCAGTTCCTATCATTTCAATGGACTAGGAGTGCCAATGGCACTGTGCCACCGTCACGGCACCACTGCGTCTGATCCTGTGATTGGTACAGTATAAATGACGGTGGAAAATAAATATACCATTCGCGAATCTATATTGCGGGTGGTAGAACCGCTATGCCAGCGGACTATACCATTCAGGAATATATTTGGCGAGTAGGGGGGCCGCTATGCCAGCGGTCTATACCATTCAGGAATCTATTTGGCAAGTAGGGGGGCGCTATGCCAGCGGACTATACCATTCAGGAATCTAATTGGCGAGTAGGGGGGCCGATATGCTAGCGGACTATACCATGCAGGAATCTATTTGGCGAGTAGAGGGGCCGCTATGCCAGCGGTCTATACCATTCAGGAATCTATTTGGCGAGTAGGGGGGCGCTATGCCAGCGGACTATACCATTCAGGAATCTAATTGGCGAGTAGGGGGACCGATATGCTAGCGGACTATACCATTCAGGAATCTATTTGGCGAGTAGAGGGGCCGCTATGCCAGCGGACTATACCATTCAGGAATCTATTTGGCGAGTAGGGGGGCCGCTATGCCAGCGGACTATACCATTCAGAAATCGAATTGCCGAATAGGGAGGACCGTTATGCCAGAAGACTATACCATTCAGAAACCCACGTGGCGAATGGGGGCCGCTATGCCCGCGGACAAGAAACCCACATACACGAGTAAGAACAATAATTTAGCGCTTGAGTTTACATAAGTGTGTCATATTAAGAGTCAGTTCAGCAGCAAGCTCTCAATAAGGATCTCAATTCGGCGGATGAGTACCGAAAATTCATGATGGAGCGAACCAATTCCGACGGTAAGGGCATCTATTCCGGGGGACCGCCTTGACCCGTCATAGAGCCTTGGACCGTATAAGGGAGTCAGGTACAGAAATAACGACTCTGCTAGGGAAACAACAATGCTTGCATCACCGTGTCATAAGGCGTTAATCTTCCCAGTTTCCTTTGAGAGAGTCAGAACTGAGAAGTGACGTCTTCGATCCGATTCAGGTCAACCTTGAGAGCATCCGACACCCCGTCGTTCTTATTGCCAGTCAGAAAGCGAAAAATGCCTCCTTTTCCCGCTAGATACTGAATAGAGCGAACCCTATCGTTGTGGTTCCGAAAATTGTAATCCCTTGGGTTTTTCCATCATTGGATCATCTTGTGAACGCGCTATGACCTAAAAGCCTGTCCCTAGTTGCGGAGCGAGCGAAGTGAGCGGAGCATATACCGCAACAACAGGCACTTTCGCGTTGTGCGTGCGTGCGTGATGAATTATTTTGACTGAACTACCGACCGTCCGAGGGCATCAGATGAATCAAACGAGTCCTCTATGCCCGGAGGTTTGCAGAAAAATCGAAAAACTTGACTACTCCCACAGCGTCAAGAAATATGTGCGAAAAACAATTTTCGATGGAAAAATGCCCAACCCGGGGATCGAACCTGAGACTAACTCCAGGGTAGAGTTTAGTGCGCGATTCGAGATGTATGACTATCGAATGACCCTGACGAGCGCAATTGAAAATCAATTTTGATCATCACATCTCCACAACGATCATTACTTCCCAACATCTCAATCAAAAGATGCGGATTAATCGAGCTCCGCCCCTTCGTCACGAAGGCCTAGTATGGATATGTTGACATAAATTCCGTCCGCAATGCTCGATAGGCCACACGTAAAAAGTACAATTTAACCAATGTATTCCAAGATCTCATGACATTAAATTCTATATTCAGAAATTCTTATAGAACAATTTGTATCTTCAACACACCGTGCCGCGTCAGTGCCCTGCCAGGAAGGGTGCACGGTAGATCACATCCAGGTTGTTGGTCAAACGGTGCTCAAGTCCGGAGGTTTTACGGATCTAACTTACCCAGTTTTGCTGGTAGACGCGAGGTCATATCGCATAATATGCGATGCATATGCTGGCAAACCCACTGTCCTCCTCTAACTCTTTCAAAAATATGACGATTTATGTCCGGGTATTCATTCATTCGATATATCCTAGTAGGATAACCCTGCTCTTTCCTACCGATGATACTAAGAGTCAAGATCCACGATCCGTGGGCAAACCATCCTTTCAACCAAACTGGTGAAAGTGTTTGTATTCTGGTAATCAGACATTGTCGTTGGCAACTTATCGAGACGTTCATCTCGATATGTTTAATAGGTTGCATCACTGGTGTGCTCTGCACGTGACCTTGATTCCTGCCCCGCGTCTCAACACGATCCGCGTCACGCGAGACGTAGCAGCATACCGCGGTTCCCCGGTAATTCCCGGACGATCTCACCTGTTTATTTGGAGCTCCACCTTCGACCTCTTGATTGGCGCATTTGGAGTCATATTCATGGCTAACTTAGTGTCCCTTCCCACATAAACAACGACGCCGCAACACCACGCCGTATTGCGGATCGACGATCCGCGGAGTACCTCAATATCGAGATAATCACTGATGACACTGGTCGAGATGGCCTGCATTGGAGACGGAAACACTCAGGCTTACCAGGTTCTTCGCATCAGCAGGTTCCCTGAGCCCTCCTCTGAGTCGAAAGAGGCCGTTGAACTCGTCGATGAGAGCATTGGGGGCATCGCACGTCATTGATCCGACACACTCGGAAACCAATGGAATAGAGGAGAACATCCGCCTAAGTCGACACCGACAGGATTCATGACCTCTCTCGTCTGATGATTTCACAGCTAATCTCGGCCATGATGTTACCGCACGAGATGTTCCCACTAGTCTAGTGCATTTAGAGGGATCGCGAGGAGCACCAGGCAGAGGCCATGGCCGTGCACTACCGTGTCTCGGGAAGAGCTTGTTTGACTTTCAATGCCGACTCTCCATCGAGCTGACTCGTTTCCACATATACCGTTCCGTCTGGGTCGCTGGTGGCTATCAGCAGCATGTCGGCCTGATATGATAGCTCAAGCATACTAATATGAGCATGTCAAGACACACTGGAACCTCTTCGCCTCTTCTCAAATACAGAAGTGATCCGGATGTGATGTTTTCCCAAGGAATCAGCTCCAAACCTGCCATATATCGAATAAAGCTCCCCCGATTGTAGGCAAATCACCTCCGACATCTCGATCATGCCTCTCACTAGCCTTCGCTTTCACTACCACTCGACAAAGGCGCTTATTGACCTACTGATCATGTGCAGGTTCCACTCTCCTATGACAAGGACCGTGGCTAACTCGAATGCACACCTTGGTGTCATTCATGTAACGACGATAGTCCTCTATCGCATCTTTGATCATCGTCAAGCTGAGGACAAATACCAGGGGCACGATAGTGGCCCACTCAGAAGTCGGACTCAGATTGTACGGGAGCATCTGGCAAATACCTAGAGGGAGGGGCAACCCTAGTAGCAACTCTCAGGCACCGAGGAGAGCGCCCTCCGCAATGGCCCAGCAGTCTCCTGGAGTGAGCTGCATTGATTGTCATCGACACCCGATGGCAAAGTGCATGAACCTCTCACCGACAAGTAGAAACCACAAGTTCGCCACGCGGTGGAACTGCTCCCAGAGGTTCAACGGGACGAACGTCAGCAAGCGGTACTTCGTCGAGGCGATCTAGCAGGGAAAAGACGATGTAGGGAATGAACTTCGACTTCCCAGCATTCGTCAAAAGCTATCCAATCGATGCTATAAATAAGGCACTTGATGGACAATAGACAAATTTGAAGCCATTGATGATCAAGCGCTATATACCGTTCAGAAATACTTCTTAGGACTGGGGTCGCTATGCCAGCGATGCGCGCGGGAGGCGCATTGCTAAACTGGGCTCCGTTCTCGGCTAACGTGATGTACTTATTTGACTCTGAGTGTCAAATTGGTGTCCTTCACGTGTATGTCAATTCTGATTCTGGGGGCATAGCTGCCCCTATTGACCGAGTCGATCCATAAATCGTGCAGCTCAAAGGCATAGCGGGCCCTTTCCACCGAGTCTATTTCTGAACTGTGCAGCCCGAAGGCATAGCTGCCCCTATCCACTGAGTTGATTTCTAAATAATGTAGTCCGAAGGCATAGCTGCCCCTATCCACCGAGTTGATTTGTAAATGAAGTAGTCCGAAGGCATAGCTGCCCCTATCCACCGAGTTGATTTGTAAATGAAGTAGTCCGAAGGCATAGCTGCCCCTATCCACCGAGTTGATTTGTAAATGAAGTAGTCCGAAGGCATAGCTGCCCCTATCCACCGAGTTGATTTGTAAATGAAGTAGTCCGAAGGCATAGCTGCCCCTATCCACCGAGTTGATTTGTAAATGAAGTAGTCCGAAGGCATAGCTGCCCCTATCCACCGAGTTGATTTGTAAATGAAGTAGTCCGAAGGCATAGCTGCCCCTATCCACTGAGTTGATTTGTAAATGAGTAGTCCGAAGGCATAGCTGCCCCTATCCACCGAGTTGATTT